TAAAGTATTCTTTGTGGACAATATATTCCCCTTCTCTTAAGATGATTTGCTTCTTCCCATTGAACGAGTCGTTAAAGAGTCTGATATTGATTGGTGTTTTGAACCAGTTCATTTGATAAATAATTGACCAGTCAATCATGTCTGAGAAGACGCTGATTTGATGACCACTGAATGATAAGAATGTTTCTAGATTCCTCTTCATTTGAAATGGGATATCGAGCTTTGTAAGAAGATATACGGGGAATGTGATTTGAATCATTGCAAGAACAATTTCGTTGACATCCTCTTCCATTTGTTTCGTGTAAATCATTTTTTCGTCGTGTTGACGTTTGATTTCTTTGTACTTTTCATACAAAGTGCCCAACAACAATTCTAGTTCTTGATTCATTTCTACGTATGATTTGTTTTGTTTGATTGCTCCTGTGATGATTTCTAGCCCATGCATGACAAATGAATTTCCTGTAACTCTTTGTGGGATTTTCTCGAAATAATCTATGAAATGGATTTCTTCACTCGTTCTAAAGACCTTGAACACCCTCTTCTTGGTTTCTATCGTTGAAATCCCGTTTTTCTTTGGATTGATTTGCCAATATGAGTCACTGTTGTTTAGCATTATGTTTCGGTAATATCTAATGAGCTGGACTTGGTTGTTTGATGATCCGATGAAATTCAACATCTGTTTTATAAGATTACATCCCACTTTTCATTAAAAATACTAAAATGGAATACGTAGAAATATTCTTCATATAAATTTCTGTTTGTTTCCTTTGATAAAAATGTCATGTAATCTTTGTTTTAATTGTGAAGTGAATTGAATAATTGTTAATCAGTAAATTATTTAACACAACTTCCATGCATTTCAAAGTTTTGCACATTTCATTGAACTTCTTTCCTTCTTCAAAGATCTTTTCCTGAGATATGATGTTCCCATTGCAAGTGACGCTAGTGATTCTTTGTTTTTTCCCATGTACACTCTGTTTTGTTGTGAACGTGTACCCGTCTTTTACTAAGATTTCGCACATGGTATCAATTCCTTGGATATATGCTTCTTGGTTTTTAGCTCGTTTTGTATTTTTATTATCCGTATATCCCGGCTTAATTTCTTTAATTTCATTGTTGTCAATCTTTAGAACGTGTAATGTGATGCTCCGATCTTCGATCTTATACCTATATCTTCGCACGGTCACTTCATGGCCTTCTTTCATCAATGTACAAATTAAATACGACTGCTGGTAATCGTACCATTCCTTTGTTTCCTTTCGAGATCGTCTTAATATCTCAATTCGATGTGTATCCATTTGATTTATGAGTTGGATCTCAATCGCAAAAAAATACCCTATAAATATAACAATCAAATTGAAATGAACAGGTTTAATGGTAAGCGCTTGGATGCAAATAAAAAGGTAGTGTATCAAATCTTTTGATTTTGAATTTTGGTACAAGAAATACAGAAAAATAAAAGTAAGAATTGGTATGACTTAAAGATTGATGGATTCCAAGAGTTCGGAGAAACTGATGATATCATTTCTAACAGACTTGAGTGATTTTGCAAGTTGTTCAATACTTTTGAGGATAACTAGTCTTCTTCTTCGTAGGAGAACGATTGTTTCGTTTTCATTGTCATATTTTGGCTTCTTCTCTGTAATTTCCTTGTTTTGTTTCTTCTTCTTGTCTATTCTTTCCTGTTGGCTGTGCGTCAACTGAGTTGCAATGAATGATTCCGATTCCGATTCCGAGTCTGACTTGTTGTCTTTCTTGACTGGGACTTCTTCCCATTCATCACTGTCAACTGTAATTGTTGATTGGTCATCATCCTTTCCACTGTTCCCATTGCTCCCTTTTTTGATACTCATTATGTGACTGATTTTCGAGATTGCGGGATTGTTTAAGTTGCTACGTTCACTTCTTTCAACCTGGAAAATATAGTACTTTATACTTCATGAATTGTTTGTTCCATTTTGATGCGCCTATAAATATCCCGATTGGGTTTTGTCATGAAAAGTGTCCACAAGAAGTGTTAGGTTTGTGCCGTGGGAGAGATCGGGACGATTATGATAATTAGGTAATTGTCCATAGTGTCCATAGTGTCCATAACGGGAGATTAGGGAGAGATGCGAGTGACATCCCGAAGATTGACTTGTAACATGAGAATCGAGAGTTGCCGTTTCGATACTCCCATTGAATTCTAGTGAATACTAATAAATAGTATCGAATAATAATCCCAATAGATAATAATAAATGATACTATAATTCCTTGATATACTAATAGATCCTGAATAACTTCCAATTTATAATCCCATACTTAATAATCCAAATAAATACTAACCCGAATGCTATATGATACTATATGATACTATATGATACTATATGATACTATATGATACTATATGATACTAAAGAGTAAAAGTGGAATCTGGCAAAAGTATAAAAATTGGTAATGTGTACAATATCGGGTCTTTACCCTAAATTTGCTTTCGTTTCCCTTTATGGACACTAAGGACACTAAAGACAACACCCTGATTTTCCCAATTTCCCGTTCTTTTGCACGGCATTTTCCTGCCATGGCGTTATGGACAATTTTTTGGACCGCAGCCAATGAGAATATTTATAGCACCAGTTCCCAAGGTATAGTTTGTTAGTGTTTGTATAGAAGTATGGTTCATTTACTACAAAGTACTAGAATGCCTCAATTCGTATCGCCCACTTATTCATCCAAAACAGCCAATCAAACACTCGGGATTCTCGTGGAATCATTCTAATCCACTCCAACTATAGCTTATTTACTAGAAAATACTAGAGCGCCTCTTTATCGCAATCATCACACTGGCGTCGATCTCAATAATTCGCAGGTCGCAGACTACTTATTCCGATCTCGAATCTCAGTCGCAGCGGATGAGCATGAGAAGCACACAAAGAGAAGAAAGCAGAAGCAGCAGAGAAATCAGAGGAAGAAGCCAAAGCAGAGGAATCAACGGGAGAGAAGAGCATCATCTCATTGATGATGAAGATTATGTCCTTTATTATGATCTAGTCGCAAGAAGAAATTTTAATGCTGATAATGGTGATGATAACAACGACTTTAACCCTGATGAATTCTCGTATGAATCCAACGACTCAGATGTCGAGTATCAGGATCAAGACGATCATCATGGGATGGAGCTTGTGACGTTCACAAGGAAAGACGGGACTACCTACGAAGCTTGGATTTAATTAATTCACAATTCTATTTTTGGTTAAACATTTGTAACTTCTTGTAATTATATACTAATAGTTCGATATACTAGTCATTTGACGCAAATAAATAAGAGTGAATTGTATTAAGTGGAATTGTTCTAATAATTCCCTCCTTTTTTCCTATTTGGTATAGTTTCATTTACCACAGCATCGAATTGAATTTTCACGCCGGAGTTATTTCTCGATCATAAAATCGGAGACTTGTCACTTTGAATTCCCCCGGAATGGAATCCACCCCAGTGCCAACAATCATCATCGACAAGAATAAATACAACGTAATCATAATCAATAAAAGAAAAATGATTATTAACTCCCCAATTGTGTTTGTGTCAGAAACCAATTCGTTCAAACCAAGAATCGTCATGTGGGTCAAGGAAAACAGAAACAAAATAATTCTGAAAGCGAGCCATGAAACGAAGGAAATATATTTAAAATTTGTCTGTATTTGCGAGGAACGAAAGGCATTTCTGAATCTCATTTGGAAATATAAGCACGGGAATATCATTGATATCCTTGGTGTGTATGATACAAACCACTACTCTGGTAACAATCTTGTTTCAGAAGCAAACTATGGGATAGCAATGGAATATGGCACACCACTCCGTAGTATTGTGGAAGGGAAGAAATACATCAGAGATATCATCTGTGGGATCAAGTTTCTTCATGAGCAAGGAATTGTTCACATGGACATCAAGCCCGACAATGTTGTTGTTGTGAATGGGATTGCTAAGATCATCGACTTTGAGCTTGCACGCACACTTGGGAAGAATGAACACTTCAATAGCATTTGCTGCACACGAAGATACCTTCCCGAATCAAAAACACAGCGAGGAATGTGTTATGGGTCGGACATCTGTTGTCTTGGATACACAATCCTTGAATTGTTCACGTCCGGGTACAATTTCGACTTACAGGATTTACTTGTGAATGAAAACATACAACACAAAGGATTTCTCTTCAAAATGACATGCGACGACTGCGACATGCGACCATCTATCAGAGAAGTATACAACTACTTTAACTTGGTTTCTTTTTAACGTGAAAAAACAATTGAAAATCAATCATCTAACTTTGCAATAATATCATTTATTTCATCGTCATCCATTTTTTGTTCTTCTTCGATTTCACCCATTTCAAGTATTACATTTGACGTGTCGATATCAGATTCGACTTTTACTATATTGATTACAAGCCCGTCTTTTATTTCAAAGGCAATCCTACTGAAGACTAATTTAGTAGCTTCCAAAACAGACATCTTTGCAGCAATATGTTTTGCATAAGTTTCATCAACTGCAGTGTATTGTGCAGTTCCTGCTGATTTAAAAGAAATGAGAATATCCTTATTCATCACCATAAAAGTATAACAGACAAGAGATTCGTATGTTACGGTGTACTTAATTTCTCTGTTGATTTTACACGTCTCTGTTCCTATTAATTTCACATCCACAATTTCATTTGTCCATGAACTAAATCCCAAATACGTGTTACATACTTCGTATATCTTATCTCTCCGCAATATGCGATTGAACTGTTTACTTATTTTTGAATAGCTTATTTTCCATTTTTCCCCGTTGTGCGTATACTGAGACTTCATTTCTCTTCGACACCTGTTAAAATCGGATCTTAGATAAAACCAGACCCGGTATAACCCCACACATTTTGTGATGAATCCATACTTGTATAATGCTCCAAATCTCGAGAATACACCATAACAATCCGATTCATTTCCAACTCCGCTAATTAAGACAGTGTTGTTCATGTTTGGGATCTTGAACGAAAGGAATTCAGTCATATTTTCAAGTTCATTGAGATAGTACAAGTGCGTATTCGTGGTTCAATTGTCTGAGAGTGTATGTCCCAAGTCCACTTCGAGAAATGTTTGATGACATCAGCACAAGAATTGTTGTGTTTTTCAAGTAAACACGTACTGTCTTGTAGTGGTATGCAATTGGAGATGTACTTGAAACCATTTTGTTTTCTGTTCTCCCGATGAATTGATACATTTTTTTGTTTTTGTAAGATTCTGCTGGGATTACATATATTACGTTTTCTTTTTTGCAATTGAATAAGCGATGAATTGGATATGAGTAGTCGATAACTGGTGCGGTGACTATGATCTGTTCCACATCAATTCCCTTGAAATAATCCCGGATTCTGATACACAATGGAATTTGAGTTGGTCCTGACATCATAACGTTACAGTCTGACCGTTCAGTTGTAATGAAATCTATTTCATTAAGGAAGCATGACTTGAGGATGTTGTTGATTTCAAAAAGACTTTGTCTATGTATTGGGTTCAGAGCATTGTAATCTCTTTTGAAGAAACAATTCATCTGCAACGAAGTGCATGACAGGTTTCGCGTGTGAAGAATGACTCTCAATGTTGTTTTTGTGACAAGAATGATTGATTTCATATGAAACATATGGCATTGCTGAGGTCTCCTACAAGAGACATTTCTTTCAAGCGTCCCATATACTTTATCTGCTATGATTTCCGTATACACGGTATTACTATTGAGTGTTCTATTGAAGTATTGTGCATTACATTCGTATGTCATATAGATTGCTCTTGACACGGAATCAAGTCCGCAATAGATGTATGTTTGATCCATCGTACTCTTGTACTCAACCATAATGAAATAAAAGATTCAATTACCCTCGCTTTCGACGAATAAATTCAGGTATTTTTTGTGACGTTGCATTTCCATTTCCATTTCCATTTTCATTTCCATTTTCATTTCCATTAGTTTCTTCATCTACAGTGCATTCGAAGTCTGGCCCGAGTGTATAGCTGATGATTGTCATTCTCACTTCACAGTTGATAAGAACTTCATTTGTCATGTCATTTGATCCTGTCTTTGCGATGAAAAACGATCCAAAATGAACTGTATCCCCTTCTCCATAATTTCCAGTGTATTCATTGAGTGTATCACATCGGAGAAGGAATGAAGCTGGACAGAGTGGTTGACCAACACATTTTTTCCCATCATACTTGAAGAATTGTGGGATTGGCCAGAGAGATGCATAATTTGTCTGCCCATTGTTGCTTGTGTTTGTGATGTTATTGATCTTCAGGAGGTCTTCAACACTGTGTTTTGTTCCATCAAATGCATGGTCGGACCATATTACATTGGTGAATGAGTAGGGATCACTTCCTTGTGACGTCTTCATTGTTATTATAGGGACAAAGCAATACGCATGTTTTGAAAGCTTCTTTTCGACAAGATCTTTGATGAATGACCCATCTATGACGCACTGTGGGACATCTTCTGGGCCAAAGTACTGAATATTGTCCATTTGTTCGACATCTTTTGTTCCACCAGGACAGTACATATATTTGTATTGTCTTGTGACAGTAAACGTGTATGGGAACATGTTTTTGATCATCGGAAGTGCAAAGTCAAGTTGCTTTGAAGTCATTTCATTCATCCACTGCTTTACTGCTTCGTCTTGGATTCCATTGAACTCATCAATATCTTTGAATGGTGTGCTATAAAATTTTGCTACTTGTGACGAGTAGAGAGCACTGTGGCTATTCGAAGATCCAAGAGCCTGCGACCGTACAAATTGTCCTTCAAGAGAATCCTCCTCGCCTAACGCTCCCGCAAACGACTTCACAAGATTCTTAACAAGAGGAATTCCAAAATTGACCAACCCACTTATGATACTTGCCATTAAGAAATACAAAGTTTTTCTCTTTTTACTGGATCGAACACGTGTCAAAGACGTGTCAACTGAGACATAAAGTTGATTGCGGACTGGAAAAATCATGGCACAACAGCA